AAAAAAAAAAAAATCATTAATCTGCGCCATCCCTGGTGGCACAATGGGTAAAAGGACACAGCACTATAAGCTAGCCACAGCTGCTTCAGTGCAAGTTCAATCCCCAACCCCGAAGGTGACCTACATGGCTCAGCAGACCTCTCCTGACCCGCCCGCTGCTCCCTTCAGCAGTGTTCTTCGTCTATCTGCCTGTTCTGCTCCCCACTCTATCTCTGGTGAATCATCTCACCTCCCTTGCATCTCTGGTTTGTACCCCAGTTCTGTATGCATAAATAAATAAATATATATTTTTTAAAAAATCATTAATCTTATATATATATTTCTTGGTCATATATGTCACCCAGAAACTAGAATAGCTTAGCTGAAAGATCACTGATATTGTTTTTGGAGTTAGTGCAGGGTCCTTGGGTTCACTCTGGGAAAGTTTTCACCAGGTTCCCCTTTCAGAGGCATGAGACAAATTACCCAGGTGAGTTTCTCCACAACACAGAGCTGTTTGTTATATATATATATTTTTTTTTTAAAAGATTTATTTATTTATGTATACAAGAGCTGGGGTACTGGCCAGAGGTGCCAGGAGTGAGAGGATTCACCAGAGAGCAGCAAACACAACAGGTAGATTGACTGAAATACACTGCTGAGGGGAGCAGTGGGAGAGACAAGAGAGGGCTGCCATGTCATGTGGGGTCACCTTCCTGGCTAGGGATCAAACTGGTGCTGCAGTGGCTGTGGAGAGTTTCATAATGCTGTGCTTTAATCCTTGTGCCACCAGGGAGGCTCCTATTTTAATTTTTATTGAAGTAGCATTGCCTTACAACATGTGTCAAATTCCATCATTATAAATCAACATTTGTAAACATTCCATTAAAGACTTCAGTATTTGAATTAGCTTATGGATCTACATTACTGAGTATACAGATTCAAATTTAATCTCATCTGAAAACGACATCTGACAGATACACAGAAATAATGTATTTAATCTATGTGTGTGTGAAATTATACAGTTTAGCTACTTCTAGTGTTCCAAAATGAATTACCTTGAGGAATCATTAAAACATCTCCTGTTTCTGTAAATGAGACAGAAATAAGAATATAGCCTTTAGCCCATAATAACTGGGCACAAAAAGCCTTGCCATTTTCTGCCTTGCCAAAGCCTCCTATTGGTCCATAGTTTCTCTTCTCCACCTCCAAGAATTTCACTTTCATTTTCACTCCACTTCTCTGCATTTTCTTTGCACTGCTCTAAAGGTCCTGGCTTGGTGAGTAATTTCTACCACATTTGCCCCTGACTTGCCTTATCTTCTCTAAGGAACTACGGCTTCATTGGTGTCAAGGGACATTGTGTCTTTTGTAGAAGACAAAGTGTGTGAAGCTTCAGATAACAAAAGCTTCAGATGAAAATGGGTGAGTCTGATGTGTCCATAGGAAGCCAGAAGTATTTTGACGGGAAAGGGAGGGCAGTTTGAAACCTTCTTGCTGACAGAAAAGCAGTCTAAAGAAGGAGGAGTCTTCAGAGGAGGCAAGAGTAAAGAAGAGAAAGGTTTCCGTGGTGTAGAGGAAATCAACCCACATTTCATTCTCATTCTATAATTTTGAATTGCAACTTACCACATACAGGGGCTCAGAGAAGAGGAATTTTGTTAAAGGCCAGTTTCTGGGTGAGGCTCTGAATCACAGCGTGGCAGAGTGGTGCTGAGGGAGGGGTAATGGGTTTTTATAAGCTGAGGTAGAGGGGAGAAATTGTCAGGTGGGAATTTTGACAAGGAACTGAAGCTTATATTTCTGCCCAGGCTTGAGTTAACTAACCAGTGGTGGCAAACAAGGTGTTAACAAGTCATGAGATTATCGCTCCCAAATAGCTGCTTCTTCTTGGAACATCTGCTCCTTCCTTATGTCTATGTTTGGCTGGTGCCTGACCCTGACAATGAGGGTCCTAGTTTTCAGAGCTAGAAAGTCCATTCCTCCAATAACAGTAGCAAAGGTAAACGATCTTTGAATTCTTGTAGCTTAATGCTTACAGTGTACCAATGAAGTATTTACTTGGACTCATGCACTGGCCTGCCTATGCTTAAGTTGTTAATGGTGCGATAACTGTAAGCTCTGTAGCCTCTTACCTTTTCACTGGTCACCATGCAGGTAATTCCTGTCATTCCTTAAAAATCATTAATCTGGCCCTCCCTGGTGGCGCAGCGGGTTAAAGCACAGCACTGAGAATCTGAAGCCACTTCCGCATGAGTTCGATTCCCGCCTGCCGCCTGCC